TATTATAATATAATATAGTTATAATTTTTAATTATATTATAACTGAAATATTAATATTTTTTATGTATTATTATAATATGTTTTATAATATTGTAATTATATTATAATCGTTATTTTAAGTATTTCAGTTATTATTTTAATAATATTATTATATTGTATATCATAATATAATATATTATATAATAATAGTTTTTTTATTATATTAAATATAATAATAAATATATATTATATTGTAACTATATATATTATAGTATAATATAATATAGTTGTAATTTTTAACTATTCACAGCAATCCAACCTCATAATTTACAAACGCTATTACGTTGATTTTGGAACCAGTACAGCTACTATAATTATAGTTTACCAAACACTCAGCTGCTTTTTGTAATAGTTGCTTCTTCCTTCAGCATAGCTAAAAATAATTTTTCTAAAATCTACAGCACTACCAAATTAAGCTAAAGACTAATTCATGGACTAAATTTTTAAAGCAATATTTTAGAAATGAAACTGCTAAACCACAATAGATTCAAAGGCAAAAGTGCTAAAGAGCTATGATATGAATAATAATGTCGTTTAAAATTTAATTTTGTTTTATATTGGAGTAAATTGTTGTTGAATCATTATTGGATAATAACTTAAACTTTTATACTAATGTTTACACTAAGTACAAAATGTTATATTCTTCATGAGTTTTAAGTTTAACAATAATAAAGAGAACAAAGAATATTTTGCAATAGTTTAACTATGTATGTAAAATTTTAAATGGTTATTCAATGAACACATGATTACTTTTATTAAATTTCAGAAATTCTTCATTAATTTTAGTGTCAGTTATTATATCTGTCAAAAAATTAAAAATTCAAAAAATAATCCGTGAAAAGTAAAAGTTCAAGAACTAAAGGGTGTTGTCCCTAGTAAGGCTACTCAAGAGGGGGTGAATTGGGTTTTAAATATTTTTTGAGAGTTTATACACTTATTCAAAGATTAAAAATAAATATAGACAATTAATTCAACACAATACGTTTATCAAACATTCGATGTGCAGAAAATTATGTAAGTTAATGCAATAGCACAAACACGATGAATCAATCTAATATCATATAACGAGCTCAATAAGCTTATCACCAAGAGTTAAATCAATCAATGTCAACTATCAAATTTAAAGTGTAAAAATTAGAGAGATAGGGTTAAGAGAGATGCAAACGAGATTTAGAGTGGTTCGACAAATAAATTTACCTACATCCACTGTCGCCGACATATTCCGCCTCTCGACCTCTTCCACTATACGATCGACTTTCCGGTATGATCACTCCTCTTACAAGATGGCGGATCTTTCTATCCGAGGCTTCACCTAACCTTTTACACAATGTCAATTTTCTACGGAGATCGACCAACCAAGAAATCCAATACCAAAGTAATGATTATGAATAGTGAATCATTCAGTCATACACTCCTAACAATGGTTTTACACAATTGAAATGACTAGGAGATGATGAAATCACACTATCAAAATATAATCCAAGGTAGGCTCAAGTATGTGTGAGAGAGTGAAGTAAGGATTTTTAGAAGATGGTGATTATTTTGGCACTTTAGAGAAACTTTTTTGGATTTTAAGAGATTTGGGAGCTCTGAATAAATTCTCTTTCTCAAAGAAAATCCGCAAAAGAGAAAAATGATTTTTCTCTATTTGACCTAACTTTTCAACGGTCTTATTTTTGCCTGTTTACCCAGTACCGGTCAATAGGAGCGGTTGACCGGTTGAGACAAATTTGAATTCTCATTGTTCAACGGTCTTATTGAATAACTATTGAGCAGAACCGGTCGACCGGAGCGGTTGACCAGTTGAGACAACACCGGTTGACCGGTGCATTTAGCCTTCTCGTTCACCGGACGATATAGGTCAACTGGTTGACACTTACTTTGCCTCAAACCTTCACAAAATTGTACTTTTAGGCCAAATGTCATTATGTACTTAGTTTAGTCTCATTTTTAAAAGAATAATGTGAGTGTGTGCATGAGTTTACCAAGAATGAATCATGATAGTATGAAGTCAAAATCAAATAGAAGACTAAGGAGATATAAAAACCTATTAGTACTTGTCTTACTTGATTTTGTTTGCTTGCTCTTGATCTTTGGTATTTCAACACTTCAAGCCTTGAATTCCTTCTTCAATTTGCATTTCTCAAACTTGAATGTATTTGCATTGTATTCTACATATGCTTCTTATGTTGATTTATAATATCAATTATGCTAAATACACAACTCAAAATAGAATCATTAGTAACATAATACATTGTGTTTGTTATCATCAAAATATGAGAATATTCAACCTTGGGCCAACAATCTCCCCCTTTTTGATGATGACAAACACTTGATTGCTAAGATAGTAGAGGCAATACCATGTTCTCTTTTACAAGTGTATGTCTCCCCCTTATTTAATCACTTAATACTAACTTGAAAATATTGTCCCCCTTAATCTATTGAGCCTTTAAAGAAAGTGCCGCAATGAACATTTTTATGTCTTCCTCCCTTATTTTTAACAATGCCAGAGTGACAATGGAACATCAAGTGACAATAGACTAAACAACAAATAGCTAAACAAATAGCAATCACTCCATAAACAAATAGCAAGTATAACAAGTGTATAGCAATCGCTCAAGTATAGCAAGTGTATAGCAATCACTCAAAAGAGAAATGAGGAAATGTGACATTAATCATCCATAAAATGTAATATCAGTTGATAGAAAGAGAAATTACAATGGAAGAACCATTAAAAGACATAGTGAAATCTAATAGTGAGGAGGCCCTTAAAAATTGAGACGCCAAAGTTGTTCAAGAATTTGTGCTTGAGTCTCGGCGTTTTCTTGATGATTGGCTTGGAGTTGCTGGAGAAGATCGTTCCAGAGGTTTGAAATGCTTGAGTCGACAAAAGAGTAGAGACTTTGGATGGCAGTGTTTAGTTGCATTCTAAACTCATCATGACTCGCACATGGAGACTTAATCCGTCCATGGAGGGTATTGAAAGCATCATCATTGAACCGAGTTGAACTACCTCCAATATCTTCTTCGCGTCTTTCATCTTCAACTCTGGCCCTTTTCTTGGGAATCCACCTTCCATTTTCAAACTTGTAACCCATGAGTTTGATTGTTGTTTTATTGTAGTCAGATTTGGGTGGACTAATTTTGGTTTCGTCATCAAGATTTACTTTGAAATGTTGAAAGATCTTTGTTAGTACCATCCTATAAGGGAGATTAGGATCCCTAGCTAAATTATTTTCATCAGCCATCTTGTGAAGGATCAAATAGGAAGATTTGTCCTAATACTTTCGAGAAGGTAGAACATTAGATAGAGATCGGTGAATGAAACCTCATCCCTATGCCCTCCTCTAGGAGTGATATTGTTGGAGATAATGTGATGAAGGATTCTACTCCTAAGGGGTAGTTCATTGGCTTTCAGCTTTGGGGGTAGAGCCTCATTATCATCTTCATCGCTCCCTTGAGTTGTAGCTCTTTCCATAATAATCCTCGACATCGTTTCTCCATTATAAGCCCAAGAGTCATAAGTATGCACACATTGTCCAATATTCAGAATCCCAAAAATTTCTGAGATCACCTCTCTATCAAGTTCTATATGTTGTCCCTTAAGAGTGCAGGTTATTTTAATGTTGGTTTCAAAAGTAGTATATTGCATGTGTGCATAAAAGGCTTTTACTAACCTCGGGTAGACTACTTCCTTAACCTCCACAAATGCTTTCCAACCTAAAATCTCAAACAATCTCTCAATATTTAACTCTCTAAACTCACCAAAATCCACAAATCTTCCTTCTATAATAGATTTCTTTTCAAAGAGTTTGAAGTTATGAGAGTTGAATTCATCATTTGATACATTTTTTCGTGGACCAGAGAAAGTACATTTCACATTCTTTCCTTTGCTACGTGATGATTGAGCCCATGAAGCCATTGAAGCAATTCGTCGAACACTTGGTGGGTGATTTTGGATTAGAGTGGATTGGGAGTGAAATTTGTGAAAGAGTGGAAAGAAAAGAGAATATGAGAAGGAATGACGTTTCTTGAGAGATTTGAGTATGATTGTGGAGGAAATTTGATGAAATTTGGATGATTTTAAGTAATGGTGTGAATTGGGGGTGTTTTTGTCGCCTAGGGTTTGAGCTTGAGTTGGAATGAGTGAGACAAAAAAAAAATTTAGATATGATTTTAAAGTGCATGTCACGCACCACCGGTCGTCCGCTGCGGTCGACCGGATCAAGCTTAACCGGTCAACCGGTTGATTATAACGTCGATGTCTTTGGTCGACCTGTGTATAAAGAAAACGTGAAGAAAATAGTTGATTTTGGCAAGAAAAAGCCTAATCAACCAATAACTAAATATAGCATATGTTTCCTCATACACCACCACACAAATAAAATGGCAATATCAATTTGTTTAAGCCTAATAATCATCAAATCATAGATCAAACACTTAATTCCTAAGTGATCAAATTTTTTTGTAGCATCTAACAGTCCTAAACATCTTCTATGTGAAGCAAATCTTTCAAGAGTTGGATGTTTGGTAAGGATATCTGCAATTCGATGATTAGTGATAATGAATTCTAATGTGATATCACCCTTTTGTACATGATCATGCAAGAAATGATGTCTAATCTCTATGTGTTTGGTGCGTGAATGCAAAATCAGATTTTTTGACAAGTTGATCGCACTAGTGTTATCACACATGATAGGGACATGGTCATAGTTCAATCTTAGGTCCAGAAGTGTTTACTTCATCCAAAGGACTTGCGTACAACAGCTGGCTGCTGAGATATATTCGGCTTCTGCGGTTGATAGAGCAACCAAATTTTACTTTTGGCTAAACCAAGAGACTAGTGCAAATCCTAAGAAATGGCATGTACCACTTGTGCTCTTCCTATCTATAGTACAGCCTGCCCAATCGGTATCCGTATAACTGAACAAGTCAATGTGTATGCCCTTTGGATACCATAATCCTAAATTCTTAGTTCCACTAAGATACCTAAAAATTCTTTTTACCGCATTTAGATGTGGCTCTTTAGGATTTGATTGATATCTAGCACACAATCGAAAAACGTAAAAAATGAAAACAAAAACAAAAACGTTTTTGTTTTTGTTTTCTAAAAAATTTTTTGCCAAACGCGTTTTCACTATGTGTTTTCATTTTTTTACTTCGAAAAACGTAAAAAATGAAAACAAAAACAAAACCAAACAGGCCCTTTGATTCTCATTTTTGTTTCTTCTCAGTTTATGAGTTTATGCTTTTTTTTTTCTTTTTTGTTGTCCTTTCCTTTCAAAAAAAAAAACAAAAATATTTTTGTCTTGATATTTTATTAAAATATTCTTTTTCATAAGATCACATATCTTATATGATTAATTCTGTTAAAAAATTAACAAAATTGAATAAAAATGATTTAATTACACCAATTTAATGTTTTTGGAAACTATTTTACTAAAATTATAAGAATAAGCATTAAAGTGGTCAGAGACAATCCGGGACCGTGCCAATTACTTTCTTTGTTTTTTTTTCGTCTTCGACTTTGCGTTTCTGAAGGCACATCCCTCTCCATTTCCCAGCATAACCGTTAACGACATTGGCTTCGTAGCAAAACGACATAGCTGAAAAGCTTCAGCTTCTTTCTTTCACATCCATGGATTCTCTCTCAAACTCTCTTAATCCCAACAAGCGCCTCAAAGAAGAGTTACTTCTCTCTCTCTCTCTCCATTTCTTCATACTTACATCTTCTCAACAGTTTATTTTGATTCGTTTGTTTTAATTTCTAATTCTTCGTTTTTCGTAATGTTTGAATGGTCAGATTCGTCAGCAATTTGACTGGCTCGTCGATGCTCGAAATCTCTGCGCTCGCTACATTAGTCCCTGTATGTATTTGTATTTCTCAATTTCGTAAATATTCTCTTTTCAATTTTGTTAATTCTCTCTTACGCCATGTTTATTGTTCTTTTACTTTGCTTTCAGGTTCTGATACTTCTGAGGCACTCAATTGGCGCCGATCGCATCATTGGTAACTTCCAATAATGGGTTCTTTTTTTTTTTTTTTCATTTGGTTAATGCCTGTTCACTCTTCAAGTTACTGTCTTTATGATAGTTAGTTACTTTTCTCATCTTGTTCATTCGCATTTTTGGTCTCTTATTTGGTCATCATCACTTTAGAAGCCTAAAATGCACTCCCGATTGGAGCTTCGTGTGGTTTCATCATAAGTGAATCTTACTAACTTTTAAATTCTGGAGTTGATTTGGGTTCTGAAGGCTTTAAACCGTAATGGGTGTTTGATTAATTCCTTGATGTAAAGCTAGGAAATGTTTCATTTTCTGTTATGCAGATTTATGGGTATATAGAATTAGGTATTGGCAATAACTTGGTTTAAGCCTCAAGGAACTGCATCTGAAACTTTTTTTTTTTTTTTTAATAATGATTTTACACTGACTTTAGCACTCGAATGGATTTTACGACGCTGTTTCGTGATTTTTATTTTGCTTTTGCTGGGAATTGACGCAAGACTATATTGGCAACGGTGATGCTAAAGATCATTTATAATTGTAGTTCGGAATTTGATGTCTAAATAGTTGAACTGCACCACCCGTGAACCTCAACATTGTTGACATTAACTTTTTGGTTGTCACCACTAGGTTTTGAAAGGGTTCCATTATTACTATCTAGTATAACCTTCTCCTTTTTTTTTTTTTTAAATTGATTGTGCATTGAATCACTAGTGTTTGTTTTTGTTTTAATTTGAATGTCTTCCTCAGATACTGTTACTGAAGAAGCCAAATTGAAGAAAAATGACGACGTACTTGTTCTTTCTAAGAGTTGGCAGGATTATATGGCTGCATTACTTATAGATTTTTTTCTCATTGTGCTCCCTATCCTTTTGTTTTTAACTGTAAGTGTTCTCGCGTAACTATGGACTTCTGCTTGGCTAAGCATTGTTGTATCTGTGAAGTATTTATATATATGTGTGTGTAGTATTTTGACTCTCTACTTGGATTATGCTATTGTTTCTCACTTACTGCAAAGCTGATGCCTTTCGGTTTACAGTAGAATAATGCTCTAAGGCATCTTCAGTGAAAAGTTTTCTTATTGATACGATGTCATTGTAAAGTGGTTGAAATAGGTTTATGTTGTTATGGATAAGCTATTTTCTGATGCTGACATATCTCTTTTCTACTTTTAGTTTCTCATGTATAATAATTAAAAGTGACAAACAAACAGGTTTTTGCAGAATGGATGTATCAGTCAATCGTTTTGTTGATATTGTTACTGCTTTTGTGTGTTGTTTCAAAAAGGTAAAAACTTGAGTACCATATTCCGAATTCTGATTATTTCTGTCTTGTTTTACATGGTTGTCATGTGACTTGGTTAGAATGCTGTTAGACATTGCATGACTAGCATATTGTATAACTAGTTTTCATATAATTATTTGACATAAATTGAATGAATATCATTGCAGATCCGGTTCTTGTTCTCCTTTTGTGGACGGAGGGTCACGTTCTCTTAGAACAAATATTTCCTCATTTAGAGTTTCTATGGTATGCAGCCTTACACGCATCTGTATGGTGTATTGATAATTTATCTTGTTCAATTTTATTTACTTGTGCATTATCATAAGTGATTGATGCAGATGATTGTAACATGCTTGAGTATCTTGGCTGTTGACTTCACAATATTTCCTAGAAGATATGCAAAGACAGAAACTTATGGCACTGGCTTGGTGAGTTCATTTAAGCTGAAGAAGTCGAACTTTACTTTCCTTTAGCATTTTTGCTCTACTTTCCAGTTGATTACTTTTCATTGATGGTGCTACTTACTGCAAAAATATAGTGCAGCGGTTTGTCCCTGGTTGTCGATTGTCATTGACCTAGTTTCCTACGCAAAACTTGTTCTAACTATGTCTGTGATAGAACCCCAGGAACTTCTGGTAGTTTTCTTTATTGAATAAGAACATAATTGGAAAATAACAAGTAAGAAAATACAGATAGGAGGAATTTGAGGTTCCTCTGCCTCCCAGACTCAGACTCAGCACAAAACAATCCTCTTCCCTACGAGCTCTCCTATATAGCTAGTTCTCAGCAACGGCATTCCCCATGCATAACCAATTCGTAACAGAAGGCGTGACCCCAACACGAATCCCAATAGAAATGCTAGGTCAGCCAACTATCCCCACTTACACCGCCTCCTCTTGAGAATTAGGTAGTCCCCTCTTGCTCCTCCTAGAGTAAACGAATCCCCCCCCAATTAACATCTTGGGTACCTGTTTGCCTCTCGAACTCGGGAAGCCAGCACTGCCGACGGCTGAACCACCAACTCCAGATCGTCAGATAAGTTAGGAGGCAAAGGTTGGCCTGAAAACGCAAGCCCCCTATACGGCTTCAGCTGAGAAATGTGAAAGACATGGTGGATCGTAGCTGTTGAAGGAAGCTTAAGGCGATAAGCGACGGGACCAATCCTATCCAAAACTTCAAATGGGCCATAGAAATGTGGACTAAGTTTCTCATTAGCTCTACGGGCTAAGGACTTCATGAAGTAAGGGCGTAACCGCAACAACACTTGTTCTCCAATGGCGAAAGTGACGTCCCGGCAGTGACGATCCGCAAATTTCTTCATCTGCTGCTATGCCATCTCAAGGTGATCCTTCAGAAGGTCAAGCGTCTGATTCCGGATCCGCCGCTGTTCCTCTACCCCTTGCACTACTGCGGAGCCTTCCTGGTATCGGTGTAAAGTAGGTGATGCCTTCCATAGACTACGAAGAACGGGGTGTACTTCGTCGAGGAACTATAATTGGTATTGAACCAATATTCGGCCCAGGGCAGACAAGCCTGCCACTGTCGTGGTTTGTCATTAGCGAAGCACTGTAAGTACGTCTCGAGATAGTGATTGGTGACCTCCGTTTGTCCATCAGATTGCGGGTGATAAGCGGAACTAGTATGCAATTTGGTGCCCTATAGCTTAAATATTTCCTTCCAGAAGAGATGAACAGCGGAGCGCGATCGCTCACGATGGACTTGGGCACTCCGTGTAAGCGGATGATTTCCTCGACAAAAACCTTGGCAACCTGCTTGGCGGTGAACGGGTGGGCAAGGGGGCAGAAGTGATTGTATTTGGACAAGCGATCTGCAATGACGAGGATGGTGTCAACCCCTTTGGACTTTGGCAAGCCACTAATAAAATCTATGGATATGTCTTCTCAGATACATTATGGCACCGGCAATGGAGTTAGCAATCCCGTCGGAGAGAGGGCGTCAGTCTTGCATTGTTGGCACGTGTCACAGCGTGCCACATACTCCTGAATCACCTTTTTCATGCCTTTCCAAAAGATTACTGCTGCCAAGCGCTTGTGGGTACGAAGGAAGTCGGAATGTCCACCAATGACCAAGTCATGGAACTCGTGAAGAAGCCTTACCCACGAAGATGAGGCCGGAATAACTAATCGAGTTTTAAACAAGAGCAAATCGTTTTGGATGCTGTAACTAGGAACCGACCCTGCATCTGACTGTACTTTGGCCATCACTGCTGCACAGTGAGGGTCCCCGGATTGTTCCTGGCGAAGGGCGTCAAGGTCAAATTGTTGTGGAATGGAAATTGCAGTAAAGGCGGCCATATCAATCTCTTCTTTCCGGGACAGAGCATCGGCCACTTGGTTGGCAACTCCAGGTTTGTATTGGACCTCAAAGTCATACCCGAAGAGTTTGGTTACCAAGTGAAGTTGATCGGGTGCCAAAACTCACTGGTCCATGAGGTGGCGGAGGCTCTGCTGGTCAGTGCGGATGATAAAGTGGCGTCCTAGGAGTTAGCGCCGCCACTTTTGAACTGCGAGAACAATGGTCAGCAGTTCCCTCTCATCAACTGACTTCCAACGGGCAGAATGAGAGAGTCCCTTGCTAAAATAGGTCAGGGGCCGACCCTCTTGCATAAGCACTGCCCCCACTCCACTTCCGGAGGCATCTATTTCTAAGACAAAAACCTTCTCAAAGTTGGGCAAGGCTAAAACTGGGAGTTCTGCCATCAAGACCTTCAGTTTCCGAAATGCGTCCCCGGCTAGTTGCGACCACTGATATGCTCCTTTCTTAAGCAAGTCAGTCAAGGGTCGAGTGAGCACACCGTATCCTTCCACAAATCGGCGGTAATAGCCAGTCAAGCCGAGAAATCCACGGAGTTCCCTTACTGATCATGGGGTGGGCCAAGAAGTGATGGCTTGCACCTTTGAAGGGTCAGCAGAGATCCCATCCTTCGAAATAATGTGGCTGAGGTAATCCACCTGTTCATTCTTTTGATTGGCATACAGCCATTTCTGGTGCAACGTCTACGGGACCAACTCTAAGTGCCGGATATGCTCCGCCCTCCATCGGCTGTAAATTAAAATATCGTCAAATAAAACTAACACAAATTTACACAGGAAGGGTCGGAATACCGTGCTCATTAAGGATTGAAATGTGGCGGGGGCGTTGGTGAGCCCAAAAGGCATGACGAGAAACTCGTAGTGCCCTTCATGGATTCAAAAGGCTGTCTTCTCCACGTCTTCCTCCCGAACACGGATTTGGTGGTACCCTGAGCGGGGGTCAAGCTTGGAAAAAACGTTGGCCCCATGAAGCTCGTCCATCAGCTCGTCAATTATGGGAATGGGGAACTTATCTGGAATTGTCAGCTGGTTTACCGCTCGATTGTCCATGCAAAACCTCCAGCTGCCATCCTTCTTCTTGACCAGCAGAATAGGACTCGAAAACGGGCTGGTACTCGGCCGGATTATTCCCAAAGCTAGCATCTCATCGACCAGTCGCTCTATCTCGTCCTTCTGGATGTGGGGATATCTATAGGGCCGGATATTAGGAGGAGAAACCACCTCTCGTAAGACAATATGGTGTTCACGAGCGCAGTGCAGGGGAAGACCCTCAGGAAGTTCAAAAACTGACTTGAACTGGTCCAGTAGACCGGCCAACTCATGTGGTACCTCCTCATCCGAGAGGCCATGTTCCTCGGTTGCCGCCAACCCAATTTCGAGTAACACCCCGGAATGCTCACACAGTAAGGAACGGAAAATTGAGTGTACACTAACCTTAGTACAACATAGTGCGGGATCACCCTGTAGGCATACCCACTGATTTCCTGCCAAGAACTTCAGTGTGAATTGGGTCCAATCGGCTCATACCTCCCCTAGCATTTTGAGCCACGTGACTCCGAGCACCAAATCCACGTTTCCTAATTCGAATGAGAAAAAATTTTCAATCACTCGGTGTCCCTGAATCAGCACATGCACCGACCGGCAAACTCATTCTTGCTGAAAAATCATCCCATTTCCTACCTGAATCTTGTGTTAGACAGTTAAATCTCGGGGCAAGCCCATTTCCTTCACCAGCGTGGAAGAGATAAAACTATGTGACGCGCCGCTGTCAACGAGAATGATGACCTCCCTTCCGTTAATTGTTCCCTTAACCTTCAACGTCTTCGCCGAGGAACAACCATTGAAGGAATTGAGTGACAGGGCAGCTATCTCTGCAGCCGCTGAGCCTATAAGGTTGTGCAGCCCCTCTTCCGTGGCCGACTCTTCTTTACACTCTTCCTCCGAATCTTCGTCCGCAAGCATCAACACCTGCAGTGATCGATTCTTGCAGCGGTGCCCCGGGCTATACTTCTCATCACACCTGAAGCAGAGTCCGTGAGCCTGGCGTTGCTGTGCCTCGTCGAAGGTCAGACGTCAGAATCCGGTATCGCCGCCGGTAGAGGGCTAAGTTTTCGAGGTCGCCACCGTGAGCCCTTTCTAGTGGGTGTTGAGATCTCGGCCTAATTGGGATTGAAGGGAGCTGTCTCTTAGATCTGGAGTGTTATATGGGGTGTAAGGGCTTGTGCCGGGTCGACCTGAATACTTTGGCCTGGGGACCTGTCCCACCTTGCTCCTCCTTACTCCATCTACTGCCTCCAAACGGTCCTCTACTTGTTGGGCCAGGTCTATTGCCTCTAGCAGGTTAATGGGCCGGTGCATTCTTACCTTAGCCCATATGTTTTCATGTAGCCCATTCAGAAAAACCCCTTTGAAAATGGGCTCTGGCACGCCTCTCATGGAGGCAGCAAGTGCCTCAAAGGTGTCACGGTAGTCCGCCACTCCTCCGGTCTGTCTGAGTGCTATCAGTCTCTTCGTCGGATCACCTTCACGGGCGTGGCTGAAACGCTGGATGATGGTCGTCCGGAGTTCACTCCAGCTGGTAAAAGGCTCTTGAGCATCAACCCATTGGAACCACCCCAGAGCCCTTCCTTCCATGCAAACAGAGGCCGCTAAGATTCGCTCCTCGTCCTTTATATCGTTCACGGCGAAATAGTGCTCGGCTCTAAACACCAAGCCATACGGATCCTCACTGTGGAAGACCGGGAGCTCCAACTTCTTCCCACGAAAATCCCCGTGTCCCCTCTGTTGTCCCGGTGAGATTTGGCGTTGTACTCCCACTCCTTCCCCTCGTCGGATCGGCGAGCCTTCTCGAGGAACCGCCCGACCTCTTCTTGGCTCCCACCTTGGGGGTGTCCGATCTGGGTTCCTGGCTGGCTCCCTCTCTGGATGCATCCTGTCAAAAAGTCGTGCCTGCCTCTGCAACATCTCCTCAATTCTTTGCATCGATCCTTGCAGCTCCCCAACTATAGTATCCAGCCGAGTAACATCCTCTTGCAGCTGGGGAACTCGGTTAGCCATGGCTCCTACTATCTGAAGCGTGTCCTGAATGTCTTCTATATGATGCTCCACCGTGGATACTCGGTCTGCAACGCGCGGCTCGTGGGAAACGGTGGCCATGGAATCGGTGGCTCTGATACCAGTTGATAGAACCCCAGGAACTTCTGGGTAGTTTTCTTTATTGAATAAGAACAGAATTGGAAAATAACAAGTAAGGAAATACAGATAGGAGGAATTCGAGGTTCCTCTGCCTCCCAGACTCAGCCTTAGCACAAAACAATATTCCCCCCTCTTCCCTTTGAGCTCTCCCATACAGCTAGTTCTCACCAACGGCATTCCCCATGCATAACCAATTCTTAACAGAAGGCGTGACCCTAACACGAATCCCATTAGAAAACACGAATCCCAATAGAAATGCCAGGTTAGCCAACTATCCCCACTTACACCACCTCCTCTTGAGAATTAGGTATTCCCCTCTTGCTCCTCCTAGAGTAAACAAATTTGATGGGAGGGACTCGGGCTCTAACAGTCTGAATATGTTTCAGAAAGTATGCTTTAAAGTATACTTCTCCCTGATCGTACAAATGAAAAGATAGAATTTGATAGGAAAAACCGCGGCGTGCAATCTTACATTAGTAATGTCCATTTGTAGATCTGCCTCTACTTGCTGCGAGTTCTTGTCAGTATTTTGTTTATGGTAGACTGCATTAAATATTTAGAGAGCAAACTTTGTTCTAGAAGAAAGCTTTTTCTGAGCAAGAGATCATCGTCATAATATCATTACCTCTCCTAACTGCTCTTAATATTTGGATGAGATTTTCAGTAACTCCAGCACCAACGTTCTATTCCAATTAGGATCAATTCTGTCCTACTAATTATCTTTCGCTTCTGTCTTCTCACACAAACAATAGAAAATGAATATCTACTAGATAAACTAACGAAAATAATATGCTGAGCTTGAAGAAATTAAATATGACAGAATGTGGAGGAAGGACGTATTTTATTTTGTTTTAACATTAGTTGGGAGTCACAAGCCGTCACCCCTACCCCGACTTATACATGCATACATGTAAATATATATTTTATCTAGGTACTGACTATCTGTAACAGATGCGCTGCCTGCCTGTTTATCATTTTAAGTGGTTCTCTGAAATCTGAATTTCAACAAAACCTGTGAGTTTTCTTATGTGAATTGTCAGATGGATATTGGAGTTGGCTCATTTGTACTAGCAAATTCACTAGTTTCACGCCAAGCACGTAATATCTCATCTAAGTGAGTCTCTTTGTTCTTTATTTTGGACTTGTTGATTTTGACTACTGTTTCTGCCTTAATGACTAGTCATATGCATTCTTTTCAAGCTTAGTTCTTTGAGAAAAAAACAATGTTTCTTTTTATGTAATCTTTAATCTGACAAATTTCTAAGTTTCCAATTTCTCTGGCGCGTCTCTTTGGTGCTCAGAACTGTGAGCGCACATAAAAAGAAAAAAAAAAATTTTTTATGAAAATGAAAATTTGAAGTACAAGAGACCCTTTAGACCTACAGCTTATTAGGGCAAAGAACTTACATAAACAGTAGACAATATTTGAGGTCCCAAGTGGGTTTGCTTCCTCTTGGGGTACCTCCCTCAGTTTGTCTCGATGTGTTTAGATAGGAGGGTCTACGCACACTCTTAGGGATTAGTCAGGTGCTCAAAGAGGCCTGGATACCCCAGGTTATCACCAATATATATATAATAAAGAAAGAAAGAAAGAACTTGAGGTCCCAACCAAGTAGGCCCCATAGTGAATACAGATGATACATCTCTTTTTATTGTATCAAAACTTACTGCTTTTCACTTGATCCTTTTGCTGTCAGCATGGGATAGGAGGCTACAAAGTATTCATGATCTAAGCTCCTTCATGTGCTCATGAATATTGTAATTTAAGTGGCTATTTTCTTTGACTATGCTCTTACAGGAAATTGAAAACTGTAGTTCAATCTTCAAGTCCACTAATCATTCTTGGGTTTGCTCGTCTCCTATCTACTACCGGTGTTGACTATCAGGTTAATATCTTATACACTTTTATAATACAGATAATCCGTGTCTTTTTTTCTTCTAAATTGATAAGGTGAGTTCTTTTAAGATTATCACATGTGTTTGACATTGCTGGACAAGAATGTGATGCCTTTAGGTACTCACACAGAAGATTTCCATTGCAAGTGATGTACAAGAAAAGTGATTTCATACATCTTCACGAATTTGTGATGGTTATATGCTCTATCTCCTACCTTATACAGAAGAGATGAGAGTATGAGACCAATATGTTCATATATCCTTGTAGGTTCATGTGGGCGAATATGGTGTACACTGGAACTTCTTTTTCACGCTTGCTACCATGTCAATTCTTACGTCAATAATTGACGTTCCTCCAAAATATTGTGGAATCCTTGGTTCAGTGATTCTAGTAGGTATAGCTTTAATTGGTAACATTCAAATTTTATTTCTGCCCCTGGTAAAATGACTTTATAAGCTAGTTTGTTTGAGTTTTTAGGTTACCAAAGTTGCTTGATGCGAGGGTTAAATATGTACCTCTTCTCTGAAGAAAGGGGAGCTGATCCAATCAGCCAAAATAAGGAGGGACTCTTCAGTGTATTTGGTATGGTTGGTGTATATTAATTTGTACTGAACTTTGGATTCTGAAATCTGATTTCCTCTGAACGCGGAAGAACATGTTGTACGAGTACAAATTTTACAACTAACAGGATTGGATTTTTCTTAAAATTAAGAATAAGATGATAATCATATATGTTTTTACTCTCAGGTTATTGGGGTATATACCTTGTTGGTGTCCAGTTGGGAAATTTTCTATTCTTTCAGAACCAAGCGTCTATAATGAGAACCAAAAAATGGGCAAGGATTAGAGTTTGGCTACTTTCCATTTTGTTTTGGTACTGAACTCAGAGTAAAATATCCTTTCCTGCAACACTATTGTTGAAAAGGCTTTACTAATTCCTTTTCTTAATGCGTGTTTAGGTTTTTGACCGTTCTTATTGACAGACATGTTGAACGAGTTTCCCGTAGAATGGTACGATGTACTTGCACTGTTCGATTAGTTCTAAATATTTATGTACTAGTTCTGCTGATAATGTATTTGTGTACTAGTTGATGAAACTAAATTTCACTCTCTTTTTGCAGTGCAACCTGGCTTATGCTACCATGGTTTTAGCCGTAAATCTGCAGGTTATTTTCACTTCCTTTGGATTTCAATAACTAAAATAAATTGGCATATTATCCACTTTCCATCCGAGTATGAAACCAACTAAACATTGAGGTTGTTTATATGCTCTATTCAAGATCAAACTTTCTGTATGCATTGTTCAATGTTTTTTTTTTTTTTTTATCAACCAAACTCAACCATTTTCTTAATATGTACAAACTCTTCACTTACCACCATTAGATAGAGAGAATTGACAAATGGTTATTAGGTTTCCTCAATTTGCATAAGCTTATCATTGTATATCGCGTTATAACACAAACAATGTCAAGTTATTTGCTTGAAGCTCCCCCAAGGGCAATCAAATGCTGATATTTAGCAGTCAAAAAAGTTTTCCCTTTATTTCAAAAAGGAAAAATGAAAAAACTGTTCCTTTGCGTTCTGTTATTCGAATGTTATCATGTTATGTTCCTGATGTGGTAAATTGCATATTGTCATGTTTCTTTATCTATCCTAACAATTTAGTCCCTGGCCAGATATGATTTCATTCCTAACTTGAATCTTCACGCATTGTTCAGGTGCTAGGAATCCTAATGCTCTCTGATTTTATCCCTGGAAGCAAAACTTCAGTGCTTGAACAAGCATGTAATAGAAACTTACTGGCCACTTTTCTTCTGGTGAATAAAAAATCCTCCAATTTTCATAATCCCATTGGCAGGTTTTTTCTTTCTTTTTTTTTTCGTGCCTAAATGTGATTAACTTCTCTGCTTCTTTCTCTTCTTCAGGCAAACGTTCTCACAGGTGTGGTGAATTTGTCCATGAATACCCTCTTTGCATCACCAATAACAGCTCTATCAATTCTGATAGCCTATGCATTGACTTTTTGTGTTGTTATTGGATTGGTAGATTTTTATGGCATTCGATTAAAGTTTTGGTAGTAATAGGATTGCCATATGTTGTTGTGATACATTTTTGTTTTTTTGTTTTTGTTTTTGTTTTTTGTTTTTATTTGTTTTTATTTTTTTATTTTAGTTGCTGACATGAACAGAAGCTTTAGCGCTAAGTTTTAAGTTTAGATTCATTATAACGTTCTTCTTTACCTTCAGGTTCATGATTGGGCAAGAAGAGCACTTTGTTTTCTTTTTCTTTTTTTTTTTGAACCTCCAAAGGTGATTTTTTTTTTTTTTGGTCTGACTTAGTTTTTTGTTGCATTGTTTAACTTGGGGGTGAGACTTCAGACTCTATTCACAGTTGAATTTATAGTGACATGATTGAAACTCTTTTTTTTTTTTTTTTTTTTGGGTGCTAAAACATGATTGAAATTCAATAATCTTGATTTAGTTTCTGTGTGATAGAGGTTTTTGGAAGGGGCATGATTAAAAAATTCAACCATCTTGATTTTATTTTCATTCAACTTGGTAGTAGTACACATAAGCTCAATGAGCCACTTCAGGAATTAATCAACGAAATAGTATAAACTTTTTTTTTTTAATCAATTATTTCATTTTTCCAATTTGTTCCAGATAAACCCATTTTTAGTTGATGGGGGCTTTACAATCTTATATAGAAAAACATGGATAATATTGCACTAGACTACAAATGATCGTGAAACTATGCAATACTCTGAAAGTATGCCAGGCATACGTGTCATGAACCATTTTTTGGGTCCACTGCCACATGCTCCATTTGGATCTAAAACAGGACAGCGAATGAATACAGTTAGCCATACATACAATCATACATTCATGTATATCGTTTTAGGTCAAGAAAAGAAACAAAATAAATAAATAAATAAAAATCTAGAAGTACCGTATTCGGTTCAACAAAGAACCGTTCGTGGAAGCAAGTTGGATAGACACGTACAAATCTACGAATTAAATGTGATAGGGAGTAGCTATTGGCAGTATACGTCTACGAATATTACATTAAAAAAAAAATTAATACTAAACACAATAGTCTACGAATTAATAATTTTCTTTGGATGTGCACTACTAACTAGAACTATTACTATTAGTAGTACGTGTTTCCGGAGGGAAAAAAATAGCAGTAGATGTTTTCCAGCGTGAGAATAAATTAGAGATGATTTTTTTTTTTTCCTTTAAAGGTCTTAAAAGAGAGTTTCTATAATATAGCATATTGAAAATATTTAATAAGATCGACGTCTTTCAATGCATCTAAAAAATTTAAGTATGCAATAAAAACCCATTCAAATGCTAGTTAAAAGAAAAATACAAATTGTTGTAATTAAATATCAGTTCAAACCATAGTCCATGTTCAGATCGTAATTTAAACATTAAAGATTCTTAACTACTGGTTTCAAAGTAGAAAGATTCAAAACTACCTAACTATTTAAACAGTAAAAGAAATGAAGCCTTAGTTTATATTTTAATATTCCCTAATAATAGTTTGTTGACGGTAAAAATTGGTCAATAGATTAATAATAAGTTTTAGGTGGTTTGTGTGTGAATTTAGTGGGTAAAAACGTGATTAAGAAAAAATAAAGAAAGAATCAACACAGAAATTTTATAGTGATTTACTACGATTTTTGGAGCTACATCCACTAACAGAGAGATTTTCACTATGTTCTGAAAAAATAATACAATGAGAGAGAGAGAGTTCAGACCCTCAATACATCATATTGTCCATGTCCAATTCCTAATCAAATCCTGAGATATATTTACCAATTCTCGGAATAGTAACCTCTAATGATCGAGAGTTTAGCCAGTCTGCTTGAACTTTCTCACCGGCTTCACCACTAACTCTACATGCATTAAATGTCTGTCAAATCTCTGAACAGCTGTCACATCTTTGTAGACGTGAGTAGGATCGGCGCTTGAGTGTCCCTTGAAGTGGTCTTCGTCTTCAGATGATAGTGCGGTCGACCTCGTATTGCGATATCCTCCTCAGTACGGTCGTCCTATTAAGAGCTCTATTTCCAATTTAGAGTCGACATTTAAGGTCGGCGTCCATAGAGTAGCGGGATACTTTGTGCACAGCTGGCGTGGTCGTTAATTTCTTAATTGGGTCACATGTGACATGGCGATCATCTAGTGGCTGACGTAGAACGTCAAATTTTTCCCTACAACATAGTTCATAATCATTAAAAGCTATATATACCCTAAAAAAAAAATCATTAAAAGCAATAATTTTGCATACCCCACTAAAGAATCACAGAATTGTGCTTAACCAAAATGTGCATACAGCTGAGAGAAAAGTGAAGGTTTGAAATTGGGTTGAGGATTAGAACGATGGATGGTTCTTTCTTTCTTTCTTTGTTAAAAATTGTATTTTCTCGAGAGAGAAGCTTAGAGTCACATGGATTTCCCTGCAGATTGTCTGACAGCTTGGACTATGGTCCAAGGTCGACAATCCTCTCCTTCATGTCCCCATTCTTCAGATAAGGCAAAAAAGTTTTCCACACCATCTCTCTCTCTCTAATAAGAGTGTACCTACGAACCCATTATTGGCATTGGAAAACAAAACACAGTATAGAGTGTATACAACTACAAAATACGTGCAAATTAAGACGTACATAAATATTATTTTCTTTCTTTTTATTAGTTTATTACAGTTGAGCCTTGTACGGTTGAATATTGATGCGTGTTGCATGTGGTCACTTTGTTTATTATTCCCCCAAATTTTCCATGCAGATGTTTACATTCAAATAATGGTAATGTTTTCCTTTATGAACAAAGCTGCTCGTCCTTTTCCTCAATTATTGACCAGGCATCGAGGCATTTATATGTATATATTATATGCTATTATTGTTACTAACATAAGTTAATTGTGTGACATGCAAGGACTATGCTGTAAACTTCTGGGATTATGGAAGTGAGAGAGAGAGAAAGTGACAGAGAGACGAGAGAGCCAATCGAGGCTTATTATAGTTCAGATTAGGGGTAAATGTGCCTTCTGACTATGGTTTTGTCTTTATGATTGTTTGGTCTCGCACATCTTCTAAGGATGTCTTGGTCACTTCACACAAAACGATAGACAACTGATGTTGCATTGACCTTCCGTTGAATCCTTTTTGGTGTGCATAATCGATGCACATAATATTCGTAAATAAGTTTTGCGGATTTTTCTATGTCGCTATACATATATATATATATATATATATATATAAACGATATCATTAGTTTCGCTTTTACCTGGGAATATATCTCTTACTATGTGGTTATAATCAAGCCGTAAATACATACCTGACTCCACCTTAAATTAGTTAGTGACTTAGTGTTTAAATTACGCGACTGAAATTCAAAGAAAGAAACATATTTCTAATATTATTCTTCTTGTTGGGCTTGCTAAACTATCATTCCTCATTATTATTATTATAATTATATGTTCTTGCTGCGCCCTACAAACCATATCCACCGTTAGATTTAGAGAGTATTAATCTGATAAACGGCCACAGATGAGCACAAATGTCACAATACTTGAAGGGTACAAAGTGTAGTTGACAGTTAATTTGACAAGTGTAATGTACGATGGGTTGTCAAGCACATGTCATAGTTTTCTAGTTAAATTAATCATGGTAGTATATAAAACAAGGTGATTTATCTGGTAGGTGACGAAAAAATTAACTATTAAAAAGTTTTTATTTTTAGCAGTCTATTAAAAAGTGTCCATTTTTAGATAATTTTTTTATTTTAATATGATGTTGATTAAATCTAACAGTCAAAAACTCATCTTATTATAAAAAGTCGAGAATCTAATCTAGGGTACGTGAGATAGGGCAGCAGCAAGCAAAATCCAACACAGATTTGAATGTGAGGAGTAGCTTTTACACAGCTCGTTATGTTGTTTGTATGCATATTTCTATATAGATTTGGGTCCCCCACACCCCACCTCTCGCTTTCTCTTGCAGAAAAACTTTGGCAGAAGAGACTTTGACAGCATCTGTGAAATATTTGGCAAGGAAAACCCAAAACATGCAAAGGATGTGAGAGAGGGAAAAACTCCTCTTTCTTTTGATTTCTTATTTCTATTTTCACTTTCCTTCAATTTCATCGGCAGAAAAAGTATTACAACTTTTTTGTCCCTCTCACGTGCATCACATCCTTCCTCGCTTTCCATCCATCTAGTTCTATCATTTTAGGAGGATAATGACTTCTTAAGATATAAAGAATATTTCTTTTAATAAAGTTCCTATAATTATAATTAGAAGAGTTGTTTTAAACTGTGAGATTTTCAAGTGTATATAATATTTATTATATAATTTTCATATTTTTTTTTAGCAAATATAATTTTCATATTTATAACTAGTATTTATATCACCTTGTAAGTTGGCACTACAGTTTTAAAAGCAAATGCACCTATCATTATATATTTGTAGCGTGTAGGAAGTAGATGTTTCTATGTTAAATTTGTACACAAGTTATAATAATTAGTGTCGAACGAATTTAAGTGTTAAAATTAATGTATATTAATTATATGATTTAACCATATTAGATTTACATATTTTCTTATAAAGTTTTTTTTATTTTTTTTTATTTTTTTAACTTGAGGGTGGGGATTACTCTACAACTTATGGTGAACTGATTTAGTGTAGGATTACTACTAGGTTATATCCCAAAAATATCATCTAACTATTATATCATAACCAGATCAAGTTGATTCTAAGAAGATCTCTTCAACTATACGCATAACATATATATATATATATATATATATCTATGTGTGTGTGTGTGTGTGTGTGTGTGTGTGTGTGTGTGTGTGTGTGTCATTTTAAAACTCACGTTATCTAATTGAGTTTATTCCCTTTTCAATTTTTGTACTATCATCAATAAGTTTTCTTTTTATTTCTATAAATAAAAATAGGCGTTGTTTTATCACATCATGACCTCCGTCATTTTAACCTCCTCTCAGGTTAATATAAGGAATGGGCTCTATGCTTCTGCCGTACAAAATGAGCTGGAGGCTTTTCCTGCACTTGGAACTAGTTATAACACTACCGCTAACATATTTTATATATATATATATATATATATATATATATGCTCTTCATGGAATGCCAAGTGAAGCTAACTAGTAAGTGCGAGAAAATGGCTTTGGAAGCTTTATCCTCTTCAAATGAGCTTTTCAACTTTGTCATCTACGACACTATCTCCGCCACCCCATCTAGCTACCAAGACACTAATTCATCACTAGTAGAAACGACGGCCACTTTCTTATACGACGACGACAACAACAACAACAACATTTCTACTACTACTAGTACTTTTTTGAGACCTCAAGATCATCATCATCATCAAGTTGGTATGAATACGGGAACCACTTGTTCGTTGACGGCGAAGCGGGAACCGGGAGCGCCGGAGTGCGGTGACCGGAGGGCGGCGCAGAAAGTAGTGCTGGGAGCGGCGCAGGGATCGGTGAGGAAGAAAAGGAGGAGAAAGGCGAGGGTTTGCAAGAACAAGGAAGAAGCCGAGACTCAAAGGATGACTCACATTGCCGTCGAGAGAAACCGCCGCAAACAGATGAATGAACATCTTTCTGTCTTGCGTTCCTTAATGCCTGAATCTTATGTCCAAAGGGTAATTTTTTTATATCATAGTTATATCTCACCATCTAATCTCTCTCTCTAAACGGAATAATGATATTGCATTGTCAAGAAACTTGTCTTTTAAGCAGTTTTTCCAGGTTTTAATTGTCCAAAGCAAATTGTCCCAGTTTTTGAGAACATAGTTTTTTTGTTCCATATATAGAACTATCAGTTCTCTTATATATTCATGCAGAGTCATCTAATTAATCATAATGCATATTAGTAACCTGTTAAACACGACTTATTAATTTTGTGTTACAAGGTTTTGGCTTCTCTCTCTCTCTCTCTCCCATCCATCCCCCCCACCCCCTCCCCTCCCTCTACACACACACACACACACAGATATATATATATATATATATATATATGTCATCTTTAAGCTTATATTTTGTGTAAGCGATCGAAGTTTGAATGGACAATAATTTCATGCATAGAAGTTCTGAAAAGCTGGCTATAGATTGCGGACTTTCAAATGCATGCAAAAAAGTGGAACAGTACTGCAGATAATCATAAAAGTTAATAAGGAAATTGCTGGCTTTTCTAAAAAAATTTCTCATCACTTTTGCGCTTGGTTTGTCCTTTTGATTCTCTCTTGATTGGTTGCTACGGATAAAGGTAGCACTAGAAGTGCCTGGCCGCAAGTAGTACATAGAATAGTCTCTATCTCTATACTGCCAATATTTTATATATTGTGGGACAATTAAAGACATAAACTTATAAGACACTATATATATATATTTATTTATATATGTATATACACATACATACATACATATATATATGTATATTAATTCAGATTCATGTCCTAGTAGTTTCATTCAATAAGAATATAACTTGAGATTAAGATATATTAGTAGTTTCTTTAAGATTAAATATCTCTTACATATTCTAACTATATTTATGGTTATATATATATATATATATATATATGTTCTTGTGTGTAGGGTGACCAGGCGTCTATAGTAGGTGGTGCCATAGAATTTGTAAAGGAACTTGAACACCTATTGCAGTCCCTTGAAGCTCAGAAGCTGCAACTTAATCTTCAAGGAATGAATAACATCAATGGAGGATCTGATCATGATCTTGATCAAGATTCCAAATTGCTGCCACCCCCTTTTGCTCAATTTTTTGTGTATCCACAGTACACTTGGTCTCAGATCTCCAACAAGTACACATCAAAGACCAAGGCTGCAATAGCAGACATTGAAGTTACACTGATCGAAACACATGCGAGCCTCCGAATCCTCTCGCGGCGAAGCCTTAAACAGCTTTCGAAGCTGGTCGCCGGATTTCAGACGCTTCACCTCACCATCCTTCACATCAATGTCACCACCTTGAATCCATTAGTTCTCTACTCTGTCAGTGTTAAGGTAAAGTGTATATATATAATATATATGTCAAATTTGTATGTATAACATGTCATATTGTATAGTGTTCACTATGGAACAATTATATGATACAATTTATTAGGTGGTACTAAATAAAGGCTTAAGCAAGATAATAATAGATAAATAATAAGACAATCCAATCTACAGAAATTTTGAAATCTTGACAATATATATTGTACATATTGATCAAGAGATAATGTCCAGAGAGAAAGGGATTTTATAATTAAAGCAACAAGATCCTCACATTCTCATTTCCTAGAGTTATTAAAAAGAATCATTGTCTGTACGTACTTTAAAAAACATGTATGTGGTGGGGGATATTTTGGCCATTGGCCAGTGATGGTCATGATCAATAATTGACAAGAGAGAAGAATATGGAAGAAAGAATATTATTTATGTAAACAAAATAATGTCTTTGCACGTCTTGAGAATATTTTTTTAGTTCCCAATTTTTTCCTTGTATGGAAAATGTTTGTTTGGTTGTGACGATGGAAACACAAAAGCCTCGTTCACTTCACAAGTTTGAGTTTTTAATTTGAGTTGAGATGTGATATTTTCTAAAAGTTTTTAATTGTAGCAAAAAAAATTAGATGTAACATTTTTTTGAGAGCTTTTAATTATAAAAACCTAAAACTGAAAACTCAAATAGGTGAAATAAATGAGGCCAAAGAGTCACTAATTGAGTTTATTTGAAAAAAAAAATTCTATATCATTTATTTCATCGATTTGAACCGCAATCAATTTGAACTATTTAATTATAGTATTTTCTTTATAATCTTTGCAGGTTGAAGAAGCATGCCTACTCACTTCTGTAGATGACATAGCAGCAGCAGTTCACCACATGCTTAGAATAATTGAGGAGGAAGCAGCCTTGTGTTCATAATATCTAAATGCCCTTAGATCTGAGTTTAAATTACCATAATGCCTCCGTTTTTTTTGGTCCCCTGCAGAAAAGATTCTCTTGTTTCTGTATGTGTCGAACAAGTAGCTAGTACTCTCTAAGAATTGTTGCCTTTGATTTGTTTTCCTTTGCTGCAACTTGTAGCCGTACGATTCCACCAAATATAGCCAACCAAAGCCAAAGGGGGCCAAGCAAAAGCTTAGGATTGTCAATGGGCTCTCTAAGGCCCGGCCCATTCTAACAATGACATTTGCTGTGCATTTATTATGGGCTCTCTAAGGCCCGGCCCATTCTGACAATGACATTTGCTGTGCATTTATTCTCTTTTTTGTCTTTCCTACAGCTAGAGTTTTTAACCTCTTTTTTTGTGACTCTGGAGATAAAGAGAAGTTACAATGACCATATATAGTTTGAGTCTTCCATCTTTTTGAATTGAGTAACTGATCTTGATCAAGGAATTCAATTAAATTTCTATAGAGCTGAGTTCAAGATCATTAGACAAATGTGTATTGAATCAACTAAAATAATTTCTTATTTAAAAAAAAAAAATTAAGACTGCATGATTACCCAGTTATTTAGGATCGTTCTTAACTTGTATTTTTAGGAAGCAAAAGAAGCAAGCAAAAGTTATGACTTTTTCAGTTAGTAATTGAAATTATATTTTTTAAATTTCATGATTCTGATCTTAGACTCCCAAAAAAATAACTTCCACAAAGTAAACTATGCCAAACATGCTTACACCATGTTTAGCTCAGTTTTCAACTCTTACTTTCTCAAGATTAATGTTAATGTTTTTTACACTTCCTATAATGCGTGATGTTTTCCCATGCAAATATAAGTCTAAAAGACATTTACTAATAGTAATTCAAATACAATTAATATTTTGTACATTCATATGCTTAACAACCAAGCAAAACACCTATATATAATCATATAATAAGAAATAATTCTGTTCCTTTCTTTAGAAAATGCAATAGGACTTCCTACGAATAAATAATGGTCGTCATCGCATAAGCTTTTGGTTGGTATTGGAAGGAGTGATTTCTATATTTTCTAGCTCGATCTGAAGTAAAGCTACCTCGCCGAAAATTAAGTCTTCGGATTGATACATCTTTTTCATGAATTTTGTTTGATTCTAATCTTGCAGTTTTGTTTCTTTGCGGAAGATGAATCTGAATCCTCATTAAGACTCATGTCGTCCTCTTGTGCAAGGACCAAAACTCACCGAAAGAGACAAGGAGTAGTATTCCATATCTATCTATATATATATATATATATATATATGTGTGTGTATATGGATATATATGTGACGTTCATCAAGATCTATGGTTGAGAAACACGACCGCCAAATTCAAAGTAAATAAGAAGAAACATAATTTTGAATGATTGGTTTCAAATAAAGGAAGAGATAATTGACTGGTATGTGGTACAGACCACCCCAACATGCACTTTATATTTCGGAAAGATACCAAACTGCTATTAGATCCATGGATAAACTCTTCATGTGGCGGTAAAAGCTCCAAATTAATTTTGTTTGTTTTTGTGTATAGGATAAGACGACATTAATAGAAAATGTGGATTTAACGATGTTTTTAACCATTCTCAGAAGATATGACAATAGTTTATCATTAAATTCAGAGTCGTCACATGTCTTCGACATACTTAAGAGAATTTATGTGCACTCTTTTAGTGCTTGGGAATTAATTCTAGAGTAATTGTAGTTAGAAGGAGTTTATAGTGATGAAGGTTCTTAAGGAATTGAGAAGGACGGAAGATTCTACCACATGTACTCACAGACGACGGAGATAAGCAAGAAAAATCTTTTGATATAAAGCTCCTGATTTATTTTCAAATCGCTTGATCAACCAAAGTTTTATTCCCAAATAAGTATGTTGTCCGTACTATGGTTATTGTATATAGCGACATGAGTTAAAAGACTACAATTTATGAAAAAAATTTAAAAAGTTCATTCTGTTGTGCTTCTACAATTTTTCTAACATTTTAAGTATCATTGCAGGATACTAAAGATCATCAGTAGGTTAACGGAATTTGTAGTATCGCGACGGGATACTTCTGAGTATCATAGTAGGATACTGTGAGTCTTCGGCAGGAGGTTGGATGGCGAAATTTTGTATCAATGCTCAATACCTCGAAGTATCATGGTAGAATAACTTTGGTCATTAGTTGCTGGATTTTTTTTTTTCACGGAATGATACCTCCAAGTATCACAGTAGGATACCCCTAGGTGTGCAACAAACCAACCAAACTAAACCAATTAATAATCGGTTTGGTTTGGTTTAAATATTTAAAAAAAAACTAATTAAATTGGTTTGGTTTGTGGTTTTACCCTTAAAAAAACCAAACCAAACCAATTTTCTATCTATATAATTTTCATAAAATTATATATATTTCATATATCTATAACTTAATTGTAATTAGAAAATTAGTTTATTTTAAAATTAAATGATCATAATCTTAAAAGTTTCTGCCATAACATATATATATATGGTACTAACACTGTCTCCACAGTCTACTCTCAAGGTTTCTCTGCTCCTCTCCTCTCATTCTCCTCTCCTCTAGGCTCTGATCATGATTCTCTCTAAAATCTTGCATCTTTGTTAACGTGAATATAGCATAAGTAATAATAAGTGTCTCTGACTAGCCTATATTCGTTTTCTTTCATATATTTAAAAAAGTTGAATATCATATTCAATCATTAGTCACAACTAATATTATATAAACATATCTATAAATATATCTATAATTGAATTGCTTTGACTTCATTTTGTTTTTAGAAGAAAGAGAGAAGAGACAAAAGGGCACACAAAATATTAATACAAGTTATGGTTTATTAGTTCAAATCAATTAGAAAAACCAAATCAAAGTTATAATCGGTTTGGTTTGTATTGGATTAGATCTTTTAATTGATTTGATTTGGTTTGAAAATTTCTAAACTAATTTGTAATTAATTTGATTTACATTTCACCTAAAATTAACAATTTGGTTACTTTGCACACCCCTAATACTATCGACCACCATGCTGGAGGAATTCTTAGTATCACGGCGTGATCCCTCTAAAAATAATGGTAGGATAACGTTAGCCACTAGTAAGATAATACTATGGTATAATTGGTATTCTAATGCTCTATTCGGTAGGAGGGAACGGGAATTAGAGGGATGAGAAATAGGAATGATAGAGAGCAATGATGGAGCTAGAGGGCTATGGCCCCCTAGTTTCTTTTTTTCCTTAATACAGTAGTTTTAATTTTCATATAATAGATATGTGTATAAATTAGATTTGGCTCTCTATAAATTAATAGTTCTTTACATTTTATTTGATTAATTATTTAAATTAAAAAAATCAATTTTATTAAGTCCATAAACATTAGTATAATCTTCATTAAAAAAAAAAAAAAATTGGCCCCTCTACCGATAAATCCTGACTCCATCACTGATTGTGAGAGAAAGGAAAGTTGAAATGATGAATGATAATTATTGTCTAATTACTATGTTGTCCACTTTATTATTTATTAATAATTTTGTTTGAAGGATAAAAGTGTCTTTTTAATTTAAATTTAGGTGCATTAGTTGAATCTTTCCGTTAATGAAAGGATTTAAATTGATAGGCTTGGAAAGAGACTCTCTCCTTTCATATCTTCTCTCTCGTCTCTTCTCCCTTCAACCAAAAGAAAGATTCACCATTTCCTTCCACCACTCTCCCTCCTATCTACAGCAAATAAAGATTATACAACATGATATTCTCTTTAAGTATGTTTTTTTTTTTTCATGGCATAATATTTTTTCATGGCAACATGATATTCTCTTCAAATAAATTACTTATATGAAAAGATTTGAGCTTAATTTACATATAAAAGTCATGATACCGATAAGTTATATCTAGACTTTATAAATAGCAATCTAACTTACACCCAATATGTGCACTCATTTAAGTACACTAGAGAGTATACAAATAGAAATCGACTAATTTCGGTAAATATATCTTGCAGCGCAACTTAATTTATAAATCAGCTTAGCGAATTGAGTAAGTATTTGAGTTCTTGGTATATAAGATAAAGGAATATCTTCATGTTCATGTTCAACTTCTAAGAAACGAGAATTCACTTGCTGAAGATTCGTACGAGCAATTTAAGATTTTAGGATTATATACTATTACGTATACAAGAACTCATGTTAAAACAAAGAAAAAATAAAAGTATTTTGTGCATTAGAGAATATATTATTGGCCTCTCCGCTCTCCATATCTTGACTGAGATTGGAGCCATGGCCATGTGTGATAACTACTAAAAACCCTGTAAAAATAAAATATAAGTTGAACGTTAAATCATCCCCCATCAATGTAACAAAGGAAAACATTACCTTTTCATTCACATAGTAACAAATCACTACAAATCATCAATTCCCCAAGAAGTGGGGGAAAAAAAAGGGGCAATGGCTTACAAACCAAAATCGCTTTTTCTTTACCTTTTCTCTTCACAACCACAATTGCCCAAAACAAAACCAAAAAAGAGCAAATTTTCATAGAGGAATAACATTGTGTCTTTCTCTCCCATAACCTGAAGGCCTGGTGAGAAAAAATCTACCACTTGAAACAGATCTTTTCATTGCAACAGGACTCAGAACACAATGCAAAATCCCTTTCCTATTACCATTATCTTTCCCAACTTGTCCCAATTTTGAGCAACTTGCACGCTCAGTAGAGCACCCTTCCACATGAACATGAGTCACATGATCACCTTCTTCTTCATCACCATGATTCATCCTAAGAATATCAGCAACCGAAACGCAGTCCCCACCTGAATGATCCATCGAAACCGACCGTCTGATCTCGATTACGCTATGCCTCTCCTCCAAATTGCCCAAGTCACTAAAAGCACGCAATGAGCTAGCAGTAGTACTCTTTGGCACAACGACAACATCGTTAGTGTTACTATGCTGATCAGTTTCCTCAACACTTTCCGAATTCCGATCTTGCCCCACAAATGATCTGTTTTGATCATCATTTGCAGCCGCTGATTCATTGCTTGAGAAAGTAGTACCCTCTGTGGCTGTTGGTGGATTGACACAAACGACAACATTTGCGCGGCACAAAGGGCAATTGGAGTGTGATCTAAGCCAAGTGTCAATGCATTGTATGTGAAAAGCGTGACTACATTTAGGCAAAAGCCTAACTTCTTCATCTTCTTGAAACTCACTTAGACAAACAGAACAATCAGTGCCTTCAACCAACCCATCTCCCTTCTTGTACTTACAAGCCGTTATGGACTTGATCAGGGCCTCATCAAGCCCCGCCGTCGCCACGTGCCACGCCTCGTGGATCGAAGGGTTGTGATTGTCCTCGAACTCCCCGTCCGGGTTTTCGTCGTAATCATCTTCTCTGCTTGATCTTCTCCCATGGTCAGTGGTGTTCCCACAGTACTTGGAGATTATGGTGTAGTAGCTTACCAGGAGGAAAGCACTCACCAGAATCCCAATGATGGCGACGACAAGAGGCGAGAAGTTCGGCGAAGAATTGCCTTCCGGGAAGTCCAAAGGAGGTGGTGGAGGGTAAATTATGTAACACCATTTAGGACAGTATACGCTACAAAAGCCTTGGGAACAGTCTTTGCTGTTAAAGTATGTTGGTACCCATGGTTTTGGGCTGCCTAGAGACCCCATCAATGTCCTAATGAAAAAACATGTATTGTATTGGACTTAAGACTAATGCTAAATTTCTGTCCCTCTATAGATATATCAAATTCTACAAGGTGGGCTAGTAAAGGAAATTTGTGCTAATAATACAACTTTAGATGAGCGTTTGTTATAAGGGGCTTAATTTGTACCTAAAAATGGTGGGCTAGAGCATGAAATTTTACAAATGCTATTCTACCCTTATTTTCTTTTTGAGCATAGAAGAAAAATGAAATTCTACAACTTGTTCAAAGAAAATAATACTCCTAGAATACTATATGCAACGAAATTTGTGCTAATAGAATTTTAGATGAAAAAAAAAAATATGTGCGCCACTAAAGACACTGGATTTTAGTTTCTACTGATTCTCTGAGGGTATTTGCAGTGAAGTACACTGAAACTTTTGAAAACTATGCAAGGGAATTTGTGTCAAAGCAATGGAAAACTCAAAGAAGATATTACCTGGAGACTTATATATATGTGTGTGTGTGTGTGTGTGTGAGATAAATGGCTAAAAGGGTTTGTTTTCAGATTCTCTGGGATTTTGCAGGCAAGAAAAACAAGTACAAACAAAGGCCTAAGGAATGTAAATATTGTTGAAGAAACGGGGAAGTGTGAAGGAGACAAGGAAAGAAGCCTGGAAGGAAAGCAAAGCGAAAGAGACTGGGAAGATGGGGTATTCCTTTTTCTTTTCTTTTTTTTTTTTTTTTTTTTTTTTTTTTTGTTAATCTCTTTTGATCTTTTTCCAATGCCAACTTTGTTATTTTATTTAGTTTTATTTTTCTTGGGATAATGGTTTGTTGACTAAGGTGGTGAGTGTTGGTTGGGGAATTCATTAAAGCTATGAATGCTTTAATTATTGTACAAGCTAGTTGTAGTTGGGGTGAGCATATTGCGTGATAACAAGCAATCTTTTTTTTTTTTTTTTGCTATTAATTAGTTGATGTTACGCTTTTACATGCATTATGAAAAATACTTAGTGGCACTATTAGTGTTAAGTATCATCACTAATAAAAAATGCGTTTTATCTATAAGCATCATATTGCAAGACTTGCTTAGATGGCGTTGAATAACACTGGTGTCTAATATCATTACTCATGCATTATTAATAGACCACTGTTTACCCTCAAAAGTGAAGTAAACAGGAACAAACTAACAAACCCATGTGTTCCACAGGACAGTTGTTAATCACTCTGGCCGTCAAGTTTGGTCTACCGATTTAGAAGTACATTTGTGCAAGGAATCTGAGAGATCAGTGTTTTTTCTTTCAATATTTTTACAAAATAAAAAAAAATTATTGATAAGTTTTTATTTTTCATTATCAAATATATATTTAAAATTATTTATTTCTGCGTATTTTTTTATTTTGATATAATTTTAATGAACAAAATGAGAAAACGCACTTTGGATATAAAATCCTATCATATAAAAAGGCCCGTTACATGTAAACAAAAGTTCATTAAAGTCTTCAGAGTGGACCTCAAGTCAAGTTCAGGCAGTGTTATTTCCTTTTCTTAGTCAATAAAGAAATTACTTGTTAAGCAAGCTCACGAAAGAGTAATATTTCGCGTACAACTTTCATCACTATGTTATTCACCCAAAAAAAAAAAAAGTACTGAGACCTCGTTCGCTTCGTTGGTTTGAATTAAGAATTTGAGTTAAAAAGTGAATTCATTTAGACAAAAATACTTTAGTAAAAAATAAACTTAAATTTAAATTTTTGTAAGAGAAACTACTGTAATAAAAACTTGAGTTGTGATTCGAATTAACAAAATGAATTGGTGAGTAGCATAAACTAAGACCTCATTCATTTCACCGATTTAAGTTTTTAATTTTAATTTTATTACAGTTAAAAACTCTCACATAAAATTACATCTCAACTCGAATTAAAATTTTAAATTGACGAATTAAACGAGAATTAAATCTAATCGTCTTGCTCGGAACAATTTTGTGGTCATATAATTGCCACATGTTTGATAGTAGTTGGTGAACAATCTAGTGCATAAAATCCAGAAGACATTGATTTATACATTCTTTATTCTTAGCATACCGGTGTGGTACGTTGCCTTTTTCACTTGCATTTTACTTTTCTAAGACACTGAAATTATCAAGTATGACTAACAATATTTTAATATAACTTATTTTTAATAATTTTGGTTATGAAATTATTTTAATAAATATACTAACTCAACGTATAATTGGAGTTGAATTTCAAAATTTACAGCATTTACATCTTCAAGCATATAGATACAAATATGAACAAATATAACTAACTGATCACTGCTTTTTAAAATGAAAAATAATCCATAAATTTTTTACAATAATAGCTAGACTTATTACGTATTAGAAAGTTATGAAATTTTATCATATATAAAATGATGATCGAACAAAAATAAGACTACATATTATATAATGATGGTTGGGCAGAAAAAAGTTGAAATAATAAATGCAAGTTAAAAAAAAAACTAAAAGCACCAAATATCCTTAAAATTGATCCTATACTTTAACATTAATAGAACTGCAGTTTAGCATCGCTCTGAAAAAAAAAAAAAAAATCAAGAAAGAAAGAAAGAAAATGCGACACATAAAAGATGATCTGGCATCAATTACGTAACCGGAAGGCTATGTGATTTGTGTTGCCAAAAACACGTAAAAGTAAAGCAGAAAGAAGAAAAAGGAAGAGAATTTGTGTTGGTAAGACCATGCCATATTTAAAAGTACACGCAAATCCAATGCCATTTGCTCCATTTTTTCTTTCCCT